ACTGGCTCACCACGAATGATCATAGATGGTAGGACTGGCTCACCATGAATGATCATAGATTGTAGGACTGGCTCACCACGAATGATCATAGATGGTAGGACTGGCTCACCATGAATGATCATAGATTGTAGGACTGGCTCACCACGAATGATCATAGATGGTAGGACTGGCTCACCATGAATGATCATAGATTGTAGGACTGGCTCACCACGAATGATCATAGATGGTAGGACTGGCTCACCATGAATGATCATAGATTGTAGGACTGGCTCACCACGAATGATCATAGATGGTAGGACTGGCTCACCATGAATGATCATAGATTGTAGGACTGGCTCACCACGAATGATCATAGATGGTAGGACTGGCTCACCATGAATGATCATAGATTGTAGGACTGGCTCACCACGAATGATCATAGATGGTAGGACTGGCTCACCATGAATGATCATAGATTGTAGGACTGGCTCACCACGAATGATCATAGATGGTAGGACTGGCTCACCATGAATGATCATAGATTGTAGGACTGGCTCACCACGAATGATCATAGATGGTAGGACTGGCTCACCATGAATGATCATAGATTGTAGGACTGGCTCACCACGAATGATCATAGATGGTAGGACTGGCTCACCATGAATGATCATAGATTGTAGGACTGGCTCACCACGAATGATCATAGATGGTAGGACTGGCTCACCATGAATGATCATAGATTGTAGGACTGGCTCACCACGAATGATCATAGATGGTAGGACTGGCTCACCATGAATGATCATAGATTGTAGGACTGGCTCACCACGAATGATCATAGATGGTAGGACTGGCTCACCATGAATGATCATAGATTGTAGGACTGGCTCACCACGAATGATCATAGATGGTAGGACTGGCTCACCATGAATGATCATAGATTGTAGGACTGGCTCACCACGAATGATCATAGATGGTAGGACTGGCTCACCATGAATGATCATAGATTGTAGGACTGGCTCACCACGAATGATCATAGATGGTAGGACTGGCTCACCATGAATGATCATAGATTGTAGGACTGGCTCACCACGAATGATCATAGATGGTAGGACTGGCTCACCATGAATGATCATAGATTGTAGGACTGGCTCACCACGAATGATCATAGATGGTAGGACTGGCTCACCATGAATGATCATAGATTGTAGGACTGGCTCACCACGAATGATCATAGATGGTAGGACTGGCTCACCATGAATGATCATAGATTGTAGGACTGGCTCACCAGGAATGATCATAGATTGTAGGACTGGCTCACCAAGAATGATCATAGATTGTAGGACTGGCTCACCATGAATGATCATAGATTGTAGGACTGGCTCACCATGAATGATCATAGATTGTAGGACTTGCTCACCATGAATGATCATAGATGGTAGGACTGGCTCACCATGAATGATCTTATATGGTAGGACTGGGTCACCATGAATGATCATAGATTGTAGG